GATGTGCTCCTTTGAGCGACATGAAACCTTTACACTCCAACTGTCGTTCTCACCCCCCCCCCTTTATCCTTGTGTAGGAAATGTTGATCAGTCTGCCTTATTATTATGTTTTCCTAGTTTTATCCCAATCTATCTTTTGCTCCGTAAAATCCGTCTGCTCTTCCCCTTGCTCACCTAATTCACTCGACTCCTGCCTCCACATCTGTCCTATTCGAGGCGTTATTCGCACTCTCCTGCATCTGGGCGACTTAATCGAGGCGCAAGCTTCTGTATGTCATTGTCACTTCTTTGGTGCAACATACCTACCGTCAGCCAACTTGCTCCGGTCCCCGCTGTCTCTACCCTGTTTTTTTCCCTGATACCAGTATGATTTGCCATACCCTAGTCTCTTGTGTGCCAACCCACAAATGTTGTGGGTTGAACATTGAACCAAATCATAACAAGCTTTACCACAACATTTGTGGGTTCAACTAACCAAAATTTCACAAATATATTATGACAAGCATTTTATGACATCTGCCTAGTGAATTAATCGTATCCGTTGCTGTGACAGAGGTAACATGCTGACATTTGAAGCGCACGACTAGATTTCGAATCCCTAGGAAAGGTCGAAAATTCTGTCTATACTTGATAAGAAAGATGTTAGAGGAAAGACTATGTAAAATTATATCATTGTGAAATCAATTCATTTTATAATAAAAAAATTCAGTCCAAGGAGACTTACTGTGAATAAAAGTGGCTTAAGAATAATAATTGGTTCATACGCGATATAAATATTAGATAGATACAGGACATCGAGAAAAATACAAAAATATTTATGCAAGCTGACTAGGCCTGTCCGTCATTAACCGCAAAGTCCAAGAGAAACATAGAAGGCTAGTGAAAAATAGTGGGACTATAGAATTAGCTAATCAATATAAGTTTTGGATCGTAGATATAAGGACCAAGATGGTGCGGACTTCTGCTTGACCGCAGTATCCTTTAGCTTCAGGGCGCTGGTTCGATCTTGTTTTCGCAACTTGGACGGAGTGTCAGGGATACCTTGTGCAACCTACCTAGTCCCGTGTCCTATGCCATAGTATTCGTGATTCTCAGCATCGGACCATTGACTAGGTACATTCCCAAACGCTTTGCCGCAATAGTCAGTAGGATGAGTTTGCCATATAAAGTGGGGTTGCGAGAAGGAGATACAGCACTAAAGGTAAAAACAAAAAATATGGGCGAGGAGTGATGCCACAACGGCTGAAAAGAAAATTGGGCAAGGGGATTGCATTCACTTGTCACTTTTATAAGGTGTAACTCGGTGGCGAAGATGGCACCTCTCACTGACGATGCCGGAGAAACGTTTGGGAATGTACCAAGTCAATGGTCCGATGCTTAAAATCACGAGTACTATGGCAGATGACTAAGGTACGTTCCAAAAAGTCTCCCTGACGCTCCGACGAAGTTGATAAAACGAGGTCGAACCAACACAATATACGTTCTGGTCACAAATGTTTTCCGGGGATTTTTTGATCCTGTTCCTTATTTGTGTCTGCTCTTTTTACGCCTCATAAAGGACTTTTCTCGAATGTACGCAGATCAGTATGAAGGAAAGCAAGGTGTTAAGAAGTAAGATATCTTAAAAAATAGCAAACCTTGTGAGTATCGCAAGAAATACTTGTGACACCTGGAAGACGAAAGTCGAAAGCAGGCACAGAATATCCAGCTTTACGCATAAATGGCAAAAGAAATCCTCCGAGGCAGCAGTCGACATGCACAGGAATGTTAAACTGTTCTCCAAGCTAGCATATGGGTAGAAACAAGGGATAAAGAACGCGTTGATGTAAAAGTATAGATGGCAAAAAAATCAAGTAAATGAGAAAAGGTAAGTAGAAATGAAAATTTTAAAATGACAGAATATAATGTAAAATAAAAATGTATAAAACCCCATGGATTTAAGGAAAAATAGGAATTTCGTTGATAAAGTATCGGGAAAAAGCATCAATCAGGCTTTTTATAGGATGAAGGTTTACATTTATAAACAATTTTTCATTGAAATATATCTTAAGGTGAAAGCAAAATAAAAAAGTGGCTTAGTTTAAATGCTTTTGAAAAGTATGGTGATCAGAAAGTTGGTGGATTTTAACATAGGGGATAAGATCCACTTACTCGTGTTTCATGCGTAGCCCTAGTTTCACTTGTCTGTGCACTTTAATCGACTGAGATACTACGCTTGAGAAATAATCGATCAATCTGAGCTTAAGTAGAGGAAAACAGACAAGACAGTTTAGCAACAAGAACAGGGCATAAGAAAAAAATCAAAACAAAACATGACTCAGGGAATATTACATTATTAAACAATTGTAAGTCTTAGTGGTTAGATATGGATCATTTCACATTGTCAGTAAAACGTTAAGTTAGGAGCAACTAACTTCCTACCTTATCAATCTACTATTATAGTTAATATCTCTGCAAATAGTCTCTTAATTAGTAAATTCGTTACTCGTAGAGAGGATGTTCTTACATGTGCGAGGTGAAAGAGAGAAAAAATAATATAGAATCCAGATCTCAAAAATGAGTGAGTTTCATCAATAAAAAAAGTGTAAGTGTGAGAAGCGTAAAAGTATCACTAAGCACACTATTAATTCCTCTTTGTCCCAAGAGTCCAGCATTTTTTGGATATAGATCAACGACAAGGGAAAAATCTGTGCATTGCATGTCGAAACCCCACTGTTTCCAAAATATTTTCATGCAAGTTTTTACATAATAGAATGGATTTTTCATCACAATGTAATTAAAGGTGTAAAAATAGATAACTATAGCAGATAAGAAGTGCATTGACCTCGTTCTAGTAACTTGGTTTTTTTGTCAGGGAGACTTAGTAAAGCGGATCTTTTCCGATGTCCTCTGCCACAGTAGTTATCATGATTCCCAGCATCATACCGTAGACTTGGTAAATTCTCAGATATTTCACAGGCATCGTAGTCAGCATTATCAATGAGGGAGACGGGTAAGCATAACCGGTCACAAAAATTCTTTATTATGGCCAAAATGTACTAGAAATCCACTCGAGATGCAGCAGACGACAAGGGCTAGGCGAACAAAGTTTGCATAGTTATATGAGATGTATTCACCTTATTTCGTTTAAGGTGATGAAGAAGTAGTAGTAGAATTTTTCAACAATGCTGAGTAGAGGTGTTTGAACTTGTTTTCTCAACTTGGTCATATTGGTAGGAAGACGTAGAAGACGCACCTAGTCCGGAGTCCATTGTATGCATGATCATTTCCAAAGTCGGATCGTGGACGTGATACATTCCCAGACGTTTCGTCGGTATCGTAGTCGGCATCGTCAGTGAGTATCGCCATTCTTAGAACCACACAACTCGTCAAACGTGTACTAAACAGGTTTGGTATCCCCCTGATCTGGGCTATTCAAATTTCCTATATCCTCCAATCACACCTTGACTGTTACAATTTTTCTCCCTTGTCAAATTAAATCTAGTGAGATGTGAACTATTTAGCGACTTTCATAAGAATACTCAGCACTATACGCTGGAGTTCTCACTCCCCTTCACGCTTGTGCTGGGAATGTTGATCAAAGTCTGCCATATTGTTATGCAGTCCTCCTTCCCTAGGTCTTATCACAGTCTCCCTCCTGTCCAGTAGAATCCGTCTGTTATCGCCCTGGTTGAAGCATTTCACGCGACCTCTGCCACACCATCTGTGCTAATCAAGGCGCTATTTCCACACACTGCGTCTGAATGACTAATTCGACGCAAGAGCCTCTGAGTAAGTCTCATGGCCAGGCCTTTGCAACATAGACCAAGTCTATGGTAAGACCTACTATCAGCCAACTAGCTACAGTCTCTGCCGAATTTAGCCTATTTCTATACAGTGTGGGAAATAACGCCTCGAGTAGCATAGATGGGATGGCAGAGGTCGAATGAAATGATTGAATCAGGGCGATAGCAGACGGATTCTACGGAGCAAGAGTGAGACTGTGATAAGACCTAGGGAAGGAGGACTACATAACAATATAGCTGACTTTGATCAACATTCCCCGTACAAGGAAGAAGAGGGGTGAGAACGCAAGAGTGAAGTACGGAGGGTTCTCATGAAAGCCGCTCAAAAGGTCACACCACACAAGATTTAAATAAGCCAAGGAAAAAAATTGTAACAGTAAAGGTGTGATAGGAGGATATAGGAATTGTAACTAGCCCAGGGCAGTAGGGGAGATACCACAAATGTTTAGCACACGTTTGGTCAAAGGATCGGCTTCACTTGTCTCTTTGACGAGCTGTACTATGATGCTAAGAATGGCGAGACCTACTGACGATGCCGACTACGAATCGGGCGAAAAATCTGGAAATGTACCACGTCCACGGTCCGACTTTGGAGATGATCAGGCATAAAATGGACTCCGGACTAGGTGCGTTCCTCTACGTCTTCATACCGATATGACCAAGTTGAGAAAACAAGGTCGAACAACCTCTATACAACGAAAGGAGACTGCGAACACACAAAATGACACACCATCTTGGTCTTCATACCTTCGATTAAAATATGGAAGTAAGATTGCCAAACAATGCACTGATTACAACAGGACAAAGAAGACAATTGTAATACAATCCTGCCATTTGGCCTTTTTGAATTGTTGCAAACATGGTATTGCTCTCCGATTCTGCAATCTAATAAGGAAGTGTCATTCGGACACGGTTAATGAAATACTTTATCACGCCTCCATTCAGAAACTAGAGGAAAGTTAAGAAGTTGGTTGACCTCGTTATCGCAACTTGGCCTTGTTGTCAGGGCGACTTAGTAAAACGCACCTAATCCGAAGTCGTCTGCTGTAGTAGTTGTCATGATTCCCAGCATCAGACAGAGGACTTAGTACATTCTCAGACGTTTCGCCGGCATCATAGTCGTCATCATCAGTTAGTTTTGCCATTCTCCGCACCAAGCTACGAACTCATCAAAGAGCCAAGTGAAGTCAATCTCTCGACAAACGTTCTGCTGAAAACAGTTACACCATGACTCCTCTTTCTGTCCTGGTATATCTATCCACTCTTTACCCTCTTATCACACAGACGCCCTATCAGAATTCTCATTTGTCGAGGGATTAAATTCACTTGCCTCTCTGACGAGTTCGTAGCTTAGTGCGGCGTATAGCAAAACTCTCTGATGATGCCGACTATGATGCCGACTACGATGTTGGCGAAACGCTTGAGAATGTACCAAGTCCACTGTCTGATGCTGGGAATCATGACAACTACTATGGCAGATGACTTCGGTCTAGGTGCGTTCTACTAAGTCGGTCTGACAACAAGACCAAGTTGCAACAACGAGGTCAACCCATTTCAATAAATCGAAAGGAGACCTCGACCATACCAGAGGCCACAAAATCTTGGTCTTCATATCTTGAAGTATTCTATTTAAGTTCATAGATCTCAAGTCTAGATTAAGGAAGGATTTAGGTAGGGTTCTCGCTTTGGATTGTTTTCAAAAACTCCAGAGCATGACCGTCAAGAAGTCAGAGGGTCCGGGATCTGATAAATAAGCGGTATGACAAGAAATTGCTTAGCTCTAGGATAATAAGACAGTGCAAGACCAAGCCAACCCTGGCATCTTTGATGGTTCTGTATTGAAGACATCAACTGATACCGACGACGGTAGGACAAAGGTAGTAAACGTATCTTCAATCCCTCTGGATTCTGAAACTAGAGATCTCTTTAAAAAGGGGCTACATTTTTAACTAAATAATGAATGAAACGTTCTTAGTGATATTCTGGTGGTGGTTGTCAACATAACGGATAAATATCCAGAGGAGACAAGGCGAGAGATGGAACTGGAAATAATCCTACGGATCCTGACACATAAAGAACCGATACACAGGAGCCGATTGGCGTGTATACTGAAAAGATTACAAAAAAAAGATCAAATAGATCTTCATGCGGATAAGGGAGGAGCGACTTTTGTAATGGACAGGAAACAGTACACGGAGAAAATTGAAAGTATCTTAGGCGACTGGAAAACTTATCAAATACTACGGAAGGATCCAACCATGAAGATCAACGTGGCCCTGAAGAATATGGACAAGGTAATGCATAATAATGGGTAAATTGATAGATAGATGATGAAATCTTTAATGAAAAAATGACGCAAGACCACCGACAGCCTACGGACTACCGAAGATACACAAAGAAGGAAATCCGCTAGGACTAATAGTCAACAACAAGCATGGAGCAATACACAAACTAGCAAAATTTATTTGCTTAAAGCTATAGAAAATAAATTACAGACTTTCGAATACCGTCAAGAATTCATACGAATTTTCTTAAAGGATCTAGAATATTGGGTTGGTGGGGTCGGAACTGTTGATGAATTTCGATGTACAATCCATCTACACAAACATCTCAGGCAAGAAGGCGGTAAGCGCCTTGCTAGAGATATTGGAGCGAGAAGGCAGAACGGATAATTAAAGAATCGTTAACTTGACTGATCAACCTGACATTAAGGACAACATATTTTACATTTAACGGAGGTATCTACGAGCAAATATTTGGACTACCGATGGGTTCTCCATTCTCACCTCTTTTGGAAAATGTATACATGGACAAGTTGCAAAGGGAATTCGTGAAGTCACCATTGCAACCAAGAGTGCTCATGCGATACTTAGATGACAACTTTCCACTTTAGTCATATGGTAAGGGAAATTTAAATGAATTCCTCAATTTCATTAACGAACTTAAAGAATTAAATTCACAATAGAGGTGGAGGAGAATGAACGACTACCCTTTCTGGATATTGAAATCCTGCGTTTCAAAGGGAAATTCATGAGGAGACTATACAAAAAGAATTCATATGCGGAAATAATCCTTAATTTTCAGTCCC